AGTCTTTCTTCCAATGACCAGTCTCCTTGCACCAAGCACACTGATCTTTTCCAACTCTAGACTGTGACTTCCAATTCTTACGGTTTGGACCCTTCCCTCTTGCGACCAACGCCTCCGCTACCGGCTCAACCGAAGCCTCCTTATCCTTCTTTCGAAGCTGATAATTCACAAGTGCAGCGGTGACCTCACTATACGAAAGTGATACCTTCCCATTAATCAGAGTAAGAACGAAGGTCTCAAATTCCTCGTCGGGCAAGGAACTCAACAACAGCAACGCCTTGTCCTCATCTTCAATCTTGACATCCACATTCGCCAAATCCGCAAGAAGCTTTGTGTAGTGGTTCATGTGATCTCTAATGGAGGTTCCCTTCTTCAACTGGAAACGATAAAGTCTCCTCTTCAAATGCAAGCGATTTTCCACACTCTTGGTCAAATACTTGCTTTCGAGAATCTCCCAAATCTTCTTCGCAGAAGTCTCATTCATCACATCATATTTTAGATCTTGAGTCAAACAAGACCTAATCACACCACACGCCGTTCGATTCATCTTCTTCCAAACCTTCTCTTCAATCTCATCTGGCTTGCCATCTAACTCCAATGTATCCTCCAAATTCTGCGCGTTCAGCGCATCCAAAACCTCGCATCTCCATAATCCAAAGTTGTTTGTGCCATTAAATTTCTCCACATCTATCTTCATAGAGTGGATATTCAAACTCTGAATGGTCTTCGCGCCAGAAGCACCACCCTCGACACCCGAAGCACCTTCTTTCCCCGACATCTTACGCACCAACGAACAAAGAATAGATCCAAAACTGAAAGATAGAGTCTTTACCAAAAGATCCCACCTTTATCACCAACGAAGTCCTAAACGGGCCTCCAAATTGATCTACTCCTCCAACCAAACCCTAGATCTGGAATCTGGGCTCTGATACCACTTGTTGTGCGCAGCGGAAATTTCGGCAGAGTTTCTGGTGCACAATAAGAGAGAAAGATCGATAAGAATTCTTGTTTCTCAAAGGGAACAAGAATCTGAAAGCCTAATATCCCATCAAAGTGGGATATTTGCTCTTCCTCTCGTCAGCTCTAGGACTGCGCGTCGAGGGATCCTAAAAACTATTACAATGGCCACAAACTCAAACAACCAATTTTACGTGGTTCGGCAAACTGCCTACGTCCACGGGGCAAGGAGGAGGATCTACTATTAGAGAGAAAATACAATAGGTTTACAATCTCACAAAATAAACCCTCAAACTAACTCTCTAATCTCTCACAAAAGCACAAAAGGATTACACAGAAAACTCCTCTCAAAGTCAGCTTTGATACAGCCACTTTTCTCCTCTGCGCGAATCCCTTTGCTTTTCACTTTGCCAGCGAAACAAAGCTAATCACAAGTTTCCCTCAAAAAACCGCTGGCTATGTTCAATTCTCCAAAGCTTGTGGCCCACACTTGCTTTTGAAACAAATTATCTCTTCACGTGGTGGCTATCTCTTCACATGTACCCTTTGTACTCTCCCACTATCCAACAACTATACAATGCCAAACTTAGCTTACAAGATGGGTATTATTGCTCTTAAGTGCATAGTGCACGTGACAATTGACATGCTTTCTCTTGAGTGCATAGTGCACATGCACAAAGCTGCTAATAATGAGCAATTGATGGATTATGTCAGGCAATTATCTAAAAGATATTATTGAGAATTAGATTTAAAAAATCTTCAATTAAAGATAACATTTAGTTTCAAGCTTAATCTTATCATGAATGCAAGGAAAGATATTAAATTCAGATTCAAAAAATGAATTGGCCAGCAAGTTTCTTTTGAAAACACAAGCTTATCAATATCCTCACCTTCTACTATTCTATATAAACCCCCACAAGGAAGAAAAAAAAAACCAGCAGCGAAAAATTTCCCCCTACAGCCCAAAGAAAACAAACAAAAAGAAACAAGATGATTTTCCATTAGCACATTCTTTTTCTTTTGGCCACCAGCAATCAAAAGCTATAAAAAATTTATGTAGCCAACTCCTTCTACCCTTTGCCATCAACAGAACCAATATCAAACAAGAAGAAGATACAAGGTCAAGAAGTCATCAAGCAATCCCCTTTCAAAGACAGGTCTTCCCTCTCATGAAGCTATCAGCAGCAAAATTAACGCCTCCAAGCAGCTACTCTCAAGATCCCAAGGCAAAGGAATTGAGGCAAAAGGCAAAAGAATTAAGTGGAAATTTTTTTGCCAAGTGTTAACAAATTGTTTGTCTCTCTCTACCCCCTTGGTTGCTACAGAACAACAAATTCATCAAAACAATGAATTTTAAACTAAATAATATAAAGGCTTCAACCTACAGTCCTCATGACCAGCAGACAATCAGAAAACGGCTCCGACCTACGGTACTCGTGACCGGCAAGCAGTCTAAAAACCTCGGACCTACAATCCTCACGACCGAAAAGCTATCAAATTAAATGGGTCCGACGTACAGTACTCATGACCGACAGACAATCAAAAGAACAAAAAAAAAGTTTACAATTGTCCACTGGCATTATGTTTTTATTATCTTTAATTAATTGATCAACAAAAGATAAGTTCAAAATCTAAAAAAAAAAACTCAACACAACAACAACCAGGGAAGGGAGAAAGAAAAGTTCAAAGGGGAAAATTGCAAAAGAGCCAAAAGAATTATAGAAATTGGAAAAAATTCCAAACAATCCTCTTAAAGCAAGAATTATAAATCAGTCCGTGAAGAAATCAGAAAATGCAGTTCTGCTTAGTTTAACCCCTAGAAAGCCCAGAAACTACATTTCAATCAAGATTTACAAACAATCCTCAACAGATGCAGAAATTACAAAACAGTTCTCAAAAAGATTCAAAATTTACAGGATAGTCTTCAAAGTTGTAGAAATTACATAGCAGTTCAGAAAATGCAGAAATCGCATAGCAATACCCNNNNCCCAAGTGACGGACCTCTACGGCGTTAAACTGAACAAAATTCGGTGTAAAAAATGTACCACAAGAAAATTTTGTACAAAAATGTGTAAACAAATAACATTCAAAATGTTTGATTTTATCGACCCCTAAGTTGTTAAACTAGCCAAAATACACAATTCAAACAACAAATCAAATTTGACCCCTATGTCTAAACTGGACCAAATCAAAGTTTGACCTTTAAGTCGCTAAATTGGGAAATTTTTAATTTTGACCTCTACGTCACTATAGTGGGCCAAATCAAATTTAACCTCCACGTCCCTAAACTGAAAGATACCAAATTAACATTCATGTACCTAGGCTGAAAAATACAAAAATTGACCTCCACGACTATATTTGGATCTGCCTAGACCCACTATTGGATTTTCACCCATTTTCTCGATGTAACGTAGGAGTGCTGAAAAAAGAGGGGAAGATCCTCCTTAGAGATTCTATATAGATTATCTGCACTCCTAGGTTACATTGAACAACTCACAACTTACAACTCACAAGTAGTCGTGCAAAATAATCGTATAGGCATATATATCCATAGGATATGGATATGGTTACTAATTATCTAATTCAGTAGAATACGGATATGAATATAGAGTGAAATATCCAGATCTATATCTGAAGTATTCAAATAGGTTGATTAAACAATTGTCATTGTGTTGACCATTAGATTCATGGATTTAGGATTAGGTTTTGATGATTCACAGATCTAATCTTAGCTTTTTCATATCTATAAAACATGTTAATGGACTCTCTTATGTCATATGACCTACATTATTTCAATCTTATATGTCTTTCTCATATTCGCTTTATATCCATATTATTTGATTTGTATCCATATCTGATTTTGACAAATAGATATGAGTTTTTCTTACTGGGACATCTATATTTGTATTTGTATCCATAATTAGTAATGGATGCAAATACGATAAGATTATAGCTAATCAGTATCTGATTCATTTGC